AGTTCTTTCTAGGCTTTCGATCTTACGCGCTGGACATTCCGTTCGCCGGCTAACACGTCCCCCACTGGGGGGTTTAGTGTGCCCACCCTCTCTAAGGAGTGGTACCCATTTTATCTACTCGCCGAAGCTTTCGAACCACTGGGTGGACGGCGAGCTGGGGACAAGGCTGGTAGCTCACACCAGCACGGGGCTAGAACTGACAGCAGTACTTTTCAGCTCAGATGTTTTAACCAGAGTCTTCCAGTGCTGTAGGTGAGGAGGAAACGGTGGCCAGTGGGGGACTGGGGCAGGGAAAGCATGGGGAAACCTGCCATGTTGCAGCAGTGATAGCCAGATAAAAAACCATTACCATGTGAAAGCAGCTTTAGTTCAATTAACTAGTCCATTGTGCCCAAGTTTCTGCATGACAGAACTGGCATTATGGGAATATCAAAGTCTGAACAGCACCCGTGTTAATATAGCAGCAAGGGATACCCTTGATCTCTTCCTGTCCTCTTCCAGCTGCTGACACTTTAAGATTACATACATCACTGCACACAATGCATGCAGATGTGGAATAAGGAGAGCCAACACCTTCAGATGGCATTACAGAGGGCCAAGTTTGTTCATTTTGCATCAGTCAAAGTGGGATCTGCAGCGCACACAGGTCAAATCCCTTTCCAAACCACAGTGCGTTCAATTGGTGGGGTGCAGAAGAGTCAGGCCTCCTCTGTTGGTGCAGCCCTGATCTTACAAGTCAGGCTCCCTGACTCTGAGCCTTGAGTCATCCTGTTTGTGTTGTTCAGGCCCTTTCTTGCCGAGCCTTTAAGATGTTTGAGGGAGGTGTACCACTTCCTCTTCTGTTAGCCTCTGGGCCTCTGAGCCAAGGGTAACCGCCCCTCAAGGAGGTCCTATCCCAGGTCCCTGAAGGCAATGAAGACCCTCCCAGCTTGGTCTGAGAAGTGCCTGTGCTGCCCCAGCCAGCGTTTAACTGTAGTTAAGTAGAACTGCCATATATCTTTAAAAGCAGTGGTCCCTGGGAATTGAAGTCTTTAGTTAGACCACAGCATCCCTGCGACTGGCTGATTAACAGTCATTTCCGGCACACAGAGGCGCGAGGATTCGAGTTTACAGCTCTCTTCCCGTGGCCTTTGTTCTCTTACAGTGCCCCTTCACTTTCAAAGGGAGCTAGCTGAAGTCCAAAGTCTCACTTCTGCCAATAAATTGAACCATCATTATTTTGACTTTTGCGTGATGTGGCTGTGCATCTATTCCAAGCATTTATTCTGTATGACAAGACTTTAATTTATGTGTTTAAAATATTTGTATCTCACTTCTATTCTCAAGGCAGTTCACGTCAAAAATCAAACCATTAAAAAAAAAAGAGACCTCCATACTGCACGCAGATCCTGGGGTCAGCTTCTCCTGCCTGGTGGTTCTTCATTATAGCCTGTGGGGACTATTAACTATAATGGTCCCCATAGGGTATAATGGAGCTGAACAAATTTGGCAATCCCAAATAGTTCCTGACTCCCATACCAATATTGAGATTCGGGAATATCAGAAAATACCAATATTTTGGGGTTCAATATATCCGAACGTGAAAAATACCGATTTTTTTGTGTGTGTGTATGTTGGCACCCCTGCCAGTGACACATCTTTGTGCTTAGGAAACTTTTCTAGCTCCTTCATGGCTGCCTTTATCAGCCTCACTCTCCTTGTTTTCTTGGTTGCAGTCTCCCTTTTGGTTGACTATGGAGCTAAGGAATAGAAATTCTTTAAATTTTAATTTCTTCATCATCAATCTTAAAGTTGTCTAATTCTCCAGTAGTAATTATTTTTGTCTTCTTGATGTTCAGCTGTGGCCCTTTCTGCTTTAACCTTCAGTAGTAGTTATTTCAAGTCATCACTATTTTCTGCCAGTAATGTGGTGTAATCTGCATATCTTAAATTGTTAATGTTCCTTCCACCAGTTTTCACTCCTCCTTCATCTAAATCGAAGCATTTTTTCCTTATATGGTCTGCATATAGATTAAAGAGACCTTTGTCAGTTGAAAACAATTCTATTTCTCCATATTCTGTCCTAACTGTAGCCTTTAGTCCAGAGAGCATCAAAACAATCAGATGCTGTGGCACATTAATTTCTTTTAAAACCAACCATAACTTTTCATGATCCACGCAATCAAAAGTTTTGCTATAATCTGTGATATACAAGATGATTTTCTTCTGAAATTCTCTCATATTCTTCAGTAACCAAAGAAATTTTGCAATATGATCTCTGTTACCTCTTCCTTTTCTGAATCCATCTTGAGCATCTGGCATTTCTCACTCCGTATATGGTAACAATCTTTGTTGTAAGATTTTGAGCATCACTTTACTTGTATGAGAAATGGATGTAATGGTCTGATAGTAGCTGCAGTCTTTGATGTCTCCTTTTTTGAAATTGGAATGTGGGTCGAGCATTTCCAGTCTGTAGGGCTTTGTTCTGTTTTCCATATTTGTTGGCATGTTCTTGTTAATATTCTGATGGACTCTGTTTCTGTGGCTTGAAATAGTTCTATTGATATCCCATCTACACCTAGTGATTTGTTTCTACCAATTGCTCTCAGTTGCAGGTTTCACTTCACTTCCTAAAATTGTGTGTTGTTTTTCAAAAGTTTCTTCTTTGAAGGAATCTGTCATCCTTACATCTCTTCCATCTGGTGTTCCCATCTTTTCTTTATTTTGTCCAATTCAGTTAATATTTTTCCGTGTTGATCCTTAAGCATGGCCTAACTGTGCTTTAAATCTCCCATTGATTTCTTGGATCTTGTTTATCTCTACATGGCAGTCACTGGAATGCTGCATTGAGACTTCTATTTCTGTCACCTTTTCCTTTCACTTCTTAGACAAAGCA